TGATATAGATTTATTCAGTTTTTTACTTCATTTTGGGTTACTTTTGTTAAGTTCTATTTTTTAGGTATTTCCCATCTAATTTGTTAAATTTATTGGAATAAAATTAATAAGATTTCTTATCTTTTCAATGTCTGTAGGATATGCGGTGATATCCCCTTTCATTCCTAAATGTTGTGTCTTCTTTTTTTTTTTTTTTGATCTAGCTGGACTTGTTAATTTTACTGAACTTTAAAAAAAACCAACTTCAGCTCTACTTCTATCGCCTCTTCTCTATTTCACTGGTATTTTACTGGCATGTGCTCTTTACTATTTCTTGCCTTCTGCTTTGAGTGCGGTATGCCCATCATTTTCCAGTTTCCTAAGGTAGAAGTTTAGACTTTAATTCTAAACTCAAGGCTATACATTAGCACGTAAGCCCTGCCTAAGCTTTTCCTACAAATTCTGACAAGACATATTTTCATTATTGTTTCCTGGGAATTATTTTTATTTTCTCTAGTGACATCTTTGCTGACCCACGTGTTGTTGTATTTCCAAATATCTGAGGATTTTCCAGACACTCTTTTTCAAATTCTGTGGTCAGAGAATATACCCCGTGTGATTTCAACCCTTCAAACTTCGCTAAGACGCCCTCGTGCCCCCAACACATGGCCTGCCTCCGCGAACTTCATTGGGCACCGCGAGCCTGTGCTCTGCGGCTGCTGGTGGAGCGCCCGGCGGCCGCTGAGTCAGAGAGGTTGATAGCACTGTTCCCATCTTTTCTATGAGTAACTGATTATTTCTTCCAGAAAACATGTAACATCCCATCTCTGGATTTTGAGAACTGCATAAATTCTCCTTTCTCCCTCTGGTACTAACAACAATCTTGCTTTACGTAGACTGAGCTCCCAGATTGGTGCACAGCCGTTCACCACGGTTCATGTCTTTCTCCTGACCCGACCTGTTTGTCATTATGAAATGTCCCTCTTCATCCCTGGAAGCACTCCTCATCCTGAAGTCTATTCATCCTGAAGCCTATGATTATAGGCCACTCCACGCTTTTACAACCAGTATTTGCATGAGTTGTCTTTTACCACTCAACCTTTATGTGTCTTTGTATTTAAAGTACATCTTCTGTGAACAGCACAGTCTGATGTAAACATATGGAAAACACATTAAACTAGAATGTGAGATATCCTAGAGGAAAATTGGTCTGGACTCTTTAAAAAGACAATGCCCACTGTCAAGAAAATGAAAACAAAAGTCAGAGACTGGGCGAAAATATTTACAAAACACACATCTGAAAAAGGACTTGCACCCAAAATAGAAAAAGAACTCCTAAGGCTGAATAAGAGAACAACCCTATTTATAAGTGGGTAAATGATATGGACACCCCACCAAAGAAGTACACAGATAGCAAAGAGCGTATGAAAGGTGCTCCATGTATGTCATAAAGGGATCGCAGATTAACACGACCCTGAGATGTACTACTAGCCACCTACTCAAAAGGGCTAAAATTCAAAACACTGTCAACCACAAATGCTCAGCAGGCTGTGCGGCGGCAGGAGCTCTCATTTGCCACCGATGGGTACGCAGAGGGACGCGCACCTTGAAGACAATGTGATGGCTTCCCAGAAAGCCGAACATGCCACCTGGGGGATCAGAGGCACTCCTAGGTACTCACCCAAGTGAGCAGACACTGATGCCGTATTTCTACACAAAACCTGCCCACAAAAGTTGATAACAGCACTACTCACAATTGCCAAAAACTGGACACAACCAAGGTGCCCTTCAACTGTGGTCCATCCAGACAGTGGACTCCTAATGCAGTGGTGAAGAGATGAGCTATCAAGTCACGAAAAGAAATGAAGGAATCTTAAATGTAAATTCCTCATTGAAAAAAGCCAGTCTGAAAAGATTACACACTGTATGATTCCAACTATATGACACTCTGGCAAAACCACAGAGACAGGAAAATTATCAGTGGTCGCCAGAGGTCAGAAGGACAGGCAACAAGGGATGAACAGGGGAGCACAGGAAGTCTAGGGCGATGACACTCCTCTGTGTGATGCTGCAGTGGCGCGTGACACTCACAGTACTCATTTGGCAGAACTGGCAGGCCTGTCAGACAGAAGCTAAATCCATTATATACTCCACAGACTATACTCAGCAACAATGTATCAACACCAGATCATCAGTTGTAACAAAGTGTAACACGCACCACACCAAAGCGAGACGTCAGGGACAGAAACTAAGGCTGGGTGGGCAGAGAGCACAGAGAAACTACTTTCTTTTCAATTTTTCTGTAAAACTAAAACTGCTCTAAAAAATAAAGTCTGTTAATAATTTGAAAAAGAGACCGATGTGGAACTACACTACCTTACCAGAGGAGGACAAAAAAAATAACCTCACTAAAAAAAATGTTAACGTCAATACAGAAAAAACGACAGAGAGACTGATGTGTATTTGAGGAGACTGATAACAAGAACAGGCTAATGCGGTGCATGAACCAAGATCCAGACAAAATCAACAGACAATGCCCATTAAAACCCATTTTTGAGACATTTGGGAAAATGTGAGTATGAATTCCATATTAAATGATATTACAGAGTAGATGCTAAATTTTTTGAGCAATCTTAGAGCATTGGAGTTCTGTAGGAAAATGTCCTGTTCTTCATGTCACAATGTCTTTTATCGTAACTTTCAAAGGGTCAAGGCAGAAAATATTTCTCTCGGAGAGAAAGCAAACGTAGCAGTGTTAGCGGCGGCGCCTGGGCGGACAGCACGGCAGGACTCACCCTGCAGCCCCGGTCCTCCTGGGGGGCCAGCAAAGCTACCTGCCGGGCGCCTGAGAGGACTGGTGAGGGCGGCCGGCAAGGAGAGACAGGCCAAGGCGCCCGGCGTCAGCATCAGGAGGCCGGACTTCACAAATGAGCAAGGAAGTATTATGAGCCACTTCCTGTCAACAAATTTGAAATGCAGCTGACATGAGCAATTTCCTACTAAAGTTAGTTAAAGTGGCTCAAGAAGAAACACAGTCTGAACAGCCCTTTAACCAGGAAAGCAACTAAATCCATAGTCGAAGTTGTCTCCACAAACAAATGTAAGCCAGACAGCCGTAATCGTGAGTGCTACCAAATACTCACACACATACGCTCACCTCCTATAAAAACTATTCAAAAAAGGGATATCTCTTCAACTTAGTTTCTAAGGCCAGTTATAATATGAATCCAAAGACAGCAGGAGAACAAAAAATTCCAAGCCAATCTCATTCATGAACACAGCTGTAAAAACACTAAACAAAATACTAATAAACCATATTCAACCATATTAGGAATAGATAATTCATGATGACACACTGAGTCATCCCACAGATCAAACATCATTCAATGCCTTGCCAATTTCAAGGAGAAAACTCATACAATCATCTTACAACACACACACATACACACTCACATAACAACTCGGGAAAAAGCAAAATCTATTCATGACTTCAAAAAATAAAGTAGGAATAAAAGGGCACTTTTTAATCTGATAAGGAATTTCCTTATTTTTTAATTTTTACAGGAAGTCTATGGCAAACATCACACACAAAACTCAGAAATGAGGAGAGACAAGGACCCCACTGGGGGCGCCAGCCAGCGCAGTAAGACAAGAACGATAAACAAGCGGCACCAGATTGGAAAGAAAAAAGAGAACTACTATTTGCAGATGACACGAGGGTCTATCAGGGCAGGAAGTATGACAGGTGAATTATAGAATCAGTAAGAGAAAAGCAAAGTTGGTAGATATTAACTAAATGTACAAAACATACAAAAATCAACTTTCCATGTACCCTGGTAAAACTTACAAAATACAATTTTTATAGTGAATATAACATCAAGAAATATGAAATAACTAGAAGTATATCTAACAAATGTGCAAGCCTTTATGAAATTATAAAGTGCTACTGATAGACACCAAGAACATAGTTCATAGGATACAGCACTGTAAAGGTGTTGAGTCTTCCCCCATTAAGCCGCTGATTCCCAAGTTGATTCAATATTTTCGTGGAAGATTGAAAGGCCAAGAACAGCCAAGACACCACTGAAGAGCAAAGAGGGGAGACTCCCCAAATATCAGGAACCCTTGGAAACGTCCATGCACTAAAACAGTTTGCTGGCCTGAGGCAAACTCGGGGGATGGAACAGAGCTCAGAAGCACCCCCACACCCTCTGGAAACTTGATTTCATTCAAATCTGGCTTTAAGGGTAATGGAACAGGGGACTATCCATTTTGGAAAAAAATGAATTTGAAACTCTACCCAACAGTATGGGGAAAAAATCATTTCCAGGTAAATTAAAGACCTAAAAGTAATGGACAAAAATCCAGCCCTTTTGGAAGAACACATAGTGGAATGCTTTTGTGACTTTGGCACAGGGAAGGGCGCAGCCTGCACTGGGGGGTGTCCGACCCCTCACTTTCACCCAGTGTTTGAGGAGGACCTGCAGGCGGCCGGCTATGCTCCCAGGAGAGGGCAGACCTGAGTCTGGCATCCTCAGGTGCTTGGCCGGAGCTCTTGGCAATATTTACACCATTTTATTTTCTAGAAAAACCACTGATTCTCAAAGGAAGAGTCTAACAGGACTGGGAGATCTTGTGTTTGCACAAACCAGAATGCAGACATTCTTGAGATCTCTCCTCACAGACCTACAAACAACTCAGATCCTCATGGGAGAAACAGCTCACACCTGCCACACTTTGAGACTCCCCAGCCATTCCATTGAGACGTTTCGCAACAGAAACAACTTGCGCCTGATTACTTCTCAGCTTTCACCACTGAAACAGAAGTGCCTGCACAACTTGCCACCAGAAAGCTGGCCTGCCGGCCCTATTCAACCTCACTGAACCTGGGTTCATGGAGACAGATGAAGCATCAGTGGTTCCAGAAGCTGCGGATGACCCACACCTGCAGCCCAAATGGACAGACAGTCTGGCAGAGAGAAATGAGCATGGCTCACACGAGCCTCTGCTGGCGCTCCTACCTTGTTGAAGACCCAGATCTCCCCATTCACCGTGGGCCTGGGCACCCCGTGGCCGTTGTAGTGGAAGAGAACCCGCTCCTCCTTGGCATTCCGGCGCAAAGACGTGCAAAGCTTCTTCACCTCGTCCACAGTGGGATCGAGGCTCTGCTTGTACCGGGCCTGTGGCAGGAGAAGAAAGTAAGAAACTTACGGTGGATCCATGGTGAAACCTGGGACATACTCCGTTCCCTGCTCGGAGTGTGCAATCAGCAGATGTGTGGCCCTGGACAAGTGGCCCCAAGTTTCTCCACCTACAAAATAGGGATAATGACTACTTCACTGTAGTCATCCATTCAACTTTTATCCATTCAACTAAGCATTTATTGAGAACTGCTATGATGATCACAGGAGATAAATGAGTAAAGCCTGCCGCACGAGCAGACCCAACGAAGGCAGGGCCACTGCATCCTTTTGAGATTATCTGCAACATGGAAAAGATAATTTACTTAAATGCAGGGGCCCTGCAATGTAATGCAGCCACAGATAGCATCTAATGAAGAAAGACGGAGCACAAACCACGCTGGTCCTCCCTTGCCACAGTCACTCTGCTTGCCTGCCACTCCTGTCCGGACCCTGCTGATGACTGCAAATAATTCACTGACTTGGCAGGACCTAAATTAAGTACAAAAATCAACTACACACATGGTTAGAGGACATAAATGTAAGGAACCCCCATCTATAAAGCAACAGAGCAGACTAAATACATAGGAATAAAATGAACAGAAATGTCCAAAACCCAAACAAGGAAATGCTTTTCGACTCTCCTGGAAAATACAGAGGTGATTAGAAAATGGAAAGATGTTGGGGTCAGAGGCCCAGAGAGACCAGTGGGCCTGGGGGCTACCACATAAAGTCCAGAATTAGATCCAAACACATGCTTCCTGGATTTCTGGGGAACAGTGTTTACACAGAATGCTGATTTTATTTCATCAAACTGTTCTGCCTTCCAGACAATCTGAGTGTGGAGGGCTGGCCAGTGCAGAGACAAGCCTGTGCGGGGGACACTGAAGCTGTGTGACGGGTGCAGGGGTGGTGTTCACTGGAGGTCTCTACCCTACATTCACTTCAAGGGTAAATTCCCAGCGAGGAGCTGCAGGAGTCCGTCCATGGCCACACTGCGTGGTGGGGTGGAAGTGATGTGTATAAAAGCACTAAAGCCACACTGGGAACTCAATAAAAATGCCCCAAATTGATAAACCAGTAAAAAGGATAAACATTTTCTTTACAAATATGGTGACTGGTCTCACAGTTTTGGGTCCATTGTGTAAGAGAGACAACGTCTGGGCTCATCTAATTAAATACATGCCTGTAATACAACTTATGGGCTCATCTAATTAAATACATGCCTGTAATACAACTTACGATGACATAAGTCCTTGGTGAAATAAGGACTAAATGTAAGTTCAGTTTTCTCTGCGAATCAGAGCTGCTATAATGGCCGAACCAGGCAGCAAAGGACACCCCACCTCGGAGGGCATTCCGAGCATAGACACCGCTGCAGTTTTGGTGCAAGTACTTTACGAAACGTGTCCTGGCTGGGCAGGTAGGAGGCAGCTGGAGGTGTTCAGAACATCCTGGCACCAGGAGCTACACCCCAGGCCTGAGGGCGCAGGGAAGAGGTGGTTCTCTTGCAAGCACCAGCATTACTGAGCCCCGGGGTATGTTGGGGCAGAGGGGAGAGGTGCTGGGAAGACTGGATGTGTGTTTTCCCTGCTTCCAGGAAGGCTTCCAGGCAGCCCGGGCACGGAACAGCAAGGATGGAGAGGCCGGTGGGCCTGCACGGAGTTCTGAACGCTACTTAGATTGCCTGCGGGCGCGAGGGAACTGAAGGCAACGCTCATTTACTACCAAGGGCAGCAGCAGGGCGTCAGGCTGGTGAGAGACCCAGTTCGAATGAGGCGGAGCCTTTCCAGTGGCCTCTCCCCGAGCACCCCTGGAGGGCAGGGCTGCCTCTAGCTGTTGAAGGATGGTGCGCTGCTAAGGAGGAACCAGACCCTCCCCCGACCCGAAGCACTTCCTCCAGGGTGTGAGGAAACCACCTGGGGAAGATCCCCACTCCACTCAAGTCCCATCGGTCCATCAGGAAGATACGCGGGAAGGGCCTCCTGCCCGGGCTCAGAGGGCCCTGGGGCCTAGGACCGCCGTCGGGACACGGCCACCCCTTCCCACCACAGCAGCCATGAGGCGCAGTGAGTGGCGGGGAAGCTCCCAGAGAACGCGCCCCACGAGGTCCGGGCAGGGCAGCAGGGATGGGAACCGCCCTGCAGCCTGCGCGCCTTACAACGCCACTGAGTTCCAGCGACTTTCAGCTCACTGGCAGCTTTCTCAGGCGACAGAGAGAAACCCACACAGGTCTCTAGAGCACAAATGGTTCTTGTTTCCTGAAACGTCCTACTACCAGCAAATACCATGAGCCACAGGCGCCAAGTACCATGGCCCACTCTGAGCCCGCCCTCATCACTACTTACAACTGCTTCCAAACAGCTAACAGGCAGAGTCCTGACAGTCCTTCAGCCAGCGACATACCCGCGGTCTCACCCAGCCGCCAAGGCTCATGCAAGCGAGGGTGTGACCGCCTTGAGTCCACAGCCCAGCCAGGGGGAGCAGGCCACGCAGGTCTCATTTGTGAACGCCTCTAATCCAGCCTTTGGCCTGGTCCCAGGTCTCGCGCTCACCACGCTGCCTCAAGCTGGGCGGCGCCTGCCTCATTCATGCGCTTGAAGCCAAGGAACCTCACTGAGCACGGCCATGGCTCTCTGAGTCAGGAAGACTTCCAGTGTCATGAGCTATAGGTGCAGGCACAAAGAGATCATGTGCGCAACTTTCCAGATGGCAGGGCAAAGGGAAGGGGAAAGGCCTGAATGAAACCCCAGACCTCAGGGAGCCCCCTAATTTCAAACATCCTTCTGAAGGCGACAGAACCCTGATGTGCAGCTGCGAAGACGCTGCTCAAAGACAAGGCACCCCAAGATATGAACAGGCCACTCTGCATGGCCGCACACAGTCTCCCAGGCACGGCAAGCTCATCCATGGTGTCTGGATTCGCCTCGCAGCCCACAGACTGCTGGGCCCTCCTCGACGGGCAATGGCAGGTGCTTCCTGTCCCGGCTACATCTCACTTTTACCACAACACAAAGCTTTGCTCAGTTCTGCCCTCCTCCATGCAGCTCCCAACCAGGATTTGTGAAGTGCCAGCTCCAGGGAAGGACCACTTGCTGTCTCCCAAGATTAGTCCTAAATAGGAGTGCTGTTCTCCCAGGCCTTACACAAGGCCACGGATTGACATTACCCAGAGACATCAATAAAATCAGGGATTTGTCATCTCTGACCTCGGCCCCATCAAGGTCTTCGCACGTGGGGTTGCAAAAAAATCATCCAGCCTCATTTTCTTAGGGCCGCACAGAAAGGACACACTGATGGGTTGGCATGAGCGGCACTGTAGATATTAATGGCATGTCCCCTGGGAGCTTGTGGGGATTGATTAATACCACTAAGGGCATGAGATGAGAGGCAGTGACTTAAATGTCACCCCTGCAGCGCACTACACTAGGGTGCTGCTTCACAAGGACAGTGCCTGGGGTAAGGGTGCCATGGTGTAAAGGCGGCAGTGACACAGGAAGCATGGGCCACCTGGGGGATCTCTAGCAATTTTAGCTGGGCATCAGAAATGACAGGGCCAGACTCTAAAATACCTCCCACTGGGCTTGGCAGCGCCCCTCCCATCCGAGTCCCGAGGTGGAACAAAGAAAGTGCAGGAGGGACGAGGAAGGGGCAGGCAGGCAGCCTCCTCCAGCAGGCGAGGAGCAGGGAGCTCCCGGTTTCACTTCCTTCTCAGCGAATCCTCCTGCCCCCAGGCGGCAGCTGGTGGCCCACTGTGGTCATGAGGCCTGAGAACTGGCTCGCACTCGGCATGCCCTGCAGAGCCCTGTCTCCTGTGGCTCCGCTCACGCACGCAACTCAAGGCTGGCAGGCCAGGTGGAGGCCCTGCTGGGTCTGCAAGGCATTGGACACTGCCGCGGGCACAGGAGGGCACTTTGCTAGCAGGGTTCCTCCCGTCAGAGCCGGACCAGGAACCCTGCGCCACGCCACAGTTCTGCTTGCACTTCGCTGGTTTCTAGTAAGGAGACTGCCATCTCACAGGCCAGGTATGTATGCAGGAATAAACCTATTTCCATCACCATCCTTCTCAGGCATCGCAGGCACAGATCGAAGAAACCGAAATGCCTGACACATTTTCTCAGAACTGTTGGGGAAGCAAACGTACCACTAGATTTGGGGCCAATTCTGTTCCAATCTGGGGTCTTGAAAACATTCCACCCCTACCGCTCACCATCCCAAGAGGAAGTGAGGACTTCTGGGAAAGTGCTGGGTGGGAGGACGGTCAGGTCTGCTTGGAGGACACCCGTCCCAGATGGCAGCCCCATGTAAGGAAGCTCCAGGCCCCCGGCAGTTAAGGGGCTTTATGCTACCACCCTTCAAAAAACACCTTTTTGTGCTTTAGCTCTTCCATCCTCACTATTACTACTGAAGGCAAGCTGCTCTGGACACCATCACCATCACTGTCACAACTGTCACCACCACCGTCACCACCGTCACCATCACCACCATCGCCACCACTGTTACCATCACCATCACCACCATCACCACCACTGTCACCACCACCGTCACCATTGTCACCGTCACCATCACCACCACCTCCATCGCCACCACCATCACTGTCACACCACCACCGCTGCCAAGTCACCATCATCACCACTGTCACCAACACCGTCGCCAAGTCACCACCACCGTCACCATTGTCACCGTCACCATCACTACCACCACCATTGCCGCCGCCACCACCGTCACTGTCACCATCACCACCATAGTCACCATCACCATCATTGTCACCGCCACTGTCACCACCACCACCACCACCCTCTGCCTCTCAGATCACTCCTACAACTTCCCAGCTAACCAGCCAGCCTCATTTTGCTCTATCCTAAGCCACTCTCCAAAACTCAGTAAGTCTCACTGACTGCAAACCCTCTGACAGCCTCCCAGTGACCTCGCAAACTTCTCAGGATGAGCCCTTTCGTCCCTGCGGGACCTCTGGCCTTGTCTGAAGCCTTGGAGGGTCT